CTCTTGCGCCGTGGGCGCCCGGATCTGGATGCAGACGGGGGAGCCCGTGGTGGTGTCCAGGGCCACCCCCACCGCGGCAACCTGACGGACAGGGGCCACAGGCCCTGAGAAATTGAGGTACTAGGGCTGTGGGTCAAAACCGTTTTGGATCCCATCTTGGGGTGGGTGAATTCACCTATTTTAGTGGTTGGATTGGGATGTTTGTTGGGGGGACGGGGTCTTGACCCATAGCCATATAAGCTCAGCTGAAATGCCCTCCATGGTCACGGCGGCGCATGAGATGGGGCCCATTTCTCCGAACGCATCCCCATGGCTCCAATATTATGCTTCCAGCACCACCGGCCTGCCAAAGGGAGCCGGGTTCCAGGTCGAAGCGGTGGACCAGCTCTTGGCTCTTCGAAGGGTCCAAGTCCAACTCCAACAGCCGCTCCTTGGAGCTAACGTGGCACGTAAGCGCGGCGAAAGGAGCAAAAGCCAGCATGATATGGGTCTGTCTCAAAATGGGAAGCTTTGTTTGGACGGTGGTGTTAAAGGAACCAAAGGCAAACCAACCAGTTTTGGGGTCCCCTATTTTAAGACACACCCATATGCATGCTCTTCAAAGGCCTCCATCACAAACTGGTGGTTGGCACAAGAGGACATCACCAGTGCCCTCCCCTCCCTTTACGCCTTCAGAATTGGGCTTGAGACTCCGCTCCCGTCGCAAGCCGATCTCTGCGGGCCCAGCGTCCCACGCATGATCCGAGCTCTGCTCCAGGCTGGGCAACGCCTTCGACTCCCACTCCTCAACGTCCCCGCCCGGGAGTGGCCGTAGTGCCAATCGCACCTGGGCTGGTGTGGAGGGGGCAGGGCTGCCTGAATGACATCCTGCTTGCTGGTTCTGATTCTGCTTCCCCTGGGTCCACCACAACAGCGCCGGACATCAAAGGTTCACCATGTGTTTTTCCCCAACAGCTGAAAGCTATAAGGTCTCTGCCCAGACAGGCTCTGGTGGTTTGGGGCAGCTTTCGGGGAGGGTTCCGGTGGGCTGTGCTGTCGGGGATGCCACCTGGGCGTATTATGATTTGTGCATTACATTTGTTTGTGTTTGATTGCTTTTGTTATTGTTGTTGTTTTTGTTTTTTTGGGGGTGGGCAGTCAACAACACATCGAACTGACCGCAGTCAAACAAGGGAACTCTTGTGTATATATATTTATATATACATATTTGTGTATATATATACATATATATATATATTAAAAAAACGAGAGAAACAAATAAGAGAAAAAAGAAAAAAACGGATTCGCCTTGGACTGAGGCAGGGCTTCCCGTTGAATCGGCCAAGGCTCCGAGCACGGCGCCGGCGCGTCCGCCCGCACGACCACCTCCACGGCGCCAGGGTCGCCGGTCAGGCGTACCCGCACCTACGGGGGTCACCAAGGGATCGCCCATAGCGCATGGCATCCGCAAGGCAGAAAGTTGGCGATGGATCTAGATTAATATGTATATATATATATATACACACATATATATATATATATATATTACATCTATATATATATATGTGTGGCTGTGGGTCAAAACCCTGTACCCCTGGTGAACATCAAATAGGTGGCAAATGGATGTTCATCCACCCCAAAATGGAGCCATAAGTTGTGCCCCAGGGCCATGTGTCTGTGTGTGTACATGTGAAAGACAATACATGTATACAATCAAACATGATTGTGCGTGTGCTTTGGATAAGCCCAGGTGCACTGCGGATCAGCGCGATGGTGCTGCTGCTGCTTGGCTCCACAGTCCCAGCTGGGGCGTTCAGAAACTCGAGCAGCGCTTCTGTCTGCAAAGCTCCTGTTTGAGGGCTCAACCGCGCCAGCTAACGGAAACCTCATGGCAGGGGGGCACTGCTTACATGCGTTCGTGTGTGCAAGTGCGCAGGCGCCTGAGCGTGGTCTGCGCCTGTCTGTCTCTCTCTCTATGTCTCTCTGTGGCTCTCTGTGTCTCTCTGTGTCTCTCTGTGGGTCTCTGTGGGTCTCTGTGCATCTTTGTGTCTCTTTGTGGCTCCCTGACCATCCTCGGGGGGCTCTGACTGTGCGTCTCTGCGCGTCTTAGTGTGTCAACTGTGTGTCTCGGTGTGCGAACTGCAGAGTGCCGCTCTGTGTCTCGTGTCTCTCTGTGCGCCTGTGTGTGTGTGTGTGTGCGTGCGTCTCTGTGTGTGTGTCGCTATGTGTCTGTGGTGTGTGTGTGTGTATGTGTGTGTGTGTGTGCGTGCCTCTGCGTGTGTGTGCGCATCTGTGTGTGTGTGTGTGGGGCTGTGCGCGGGGCTGTGCGTTTGCAGGTTCGCGCGCTAGCCCCTCCAGGCCAAAGCCATCCAGCATCCCTGCCCGCAGCTCCTGGGATCTCCAGCAATCCCACCAAGTATCCTGCAAAGGCATGAGGCAACATGAGCTCTCATGCCGGCAATACAGCGCTGGGCCAGAATCGTCAAGCAGGTGTGTTGGGCTTTTCGTGAAAACGTGTGCTACTGCGCGGCTCTACAGAAAACGGAGAGAGCAAGGGGAAGGAGCCAACCGCTAAAGCTAAAGCACCACAGCCCGCCCTGCGCTCCAAAGAGTCTGCCGTAGCGCTCTTCCATCCAATCAGCTCGAGCACCATCTCCCCCGAAGATCTTCTGCCACAAAGGCTCCTCGCAAAACGCCCGTCCAAGGGCTGACCACATGCGCCTGGTACACCCCCATTGTCATACTTCTGGCATTAAGGGCACGATATGTGATGCTTGATTGATACATGATGTGCATCAAATGCACGCATCTTACATATCATTCACCTATCTATCTATCTAGCTATCTATCCACCCATCCTCATCCTCATCCTCATCCTCATCCTCATCCTCATCCTCATCATCATCATCATCATCATCCTCATACGTAGGCATTGATATGCACATATTCTTGCAGCGCATCTATATACATACCCCCCCCCCCCGAACTGCATGGTTGGCAACTTGGACGCCACGCAAACCCCGGGCTCTTTCGCTTGGCTCGAATGCGTAACCATTGCCGAGTCCCAGGAAACAAAGTGTGAAACGTTGACACGGTTTGGACTAGTCGTCCCATCAGTCGAATGAAGGTTGGACTTGGGGTGACACCAAAACCCTGTTTAGAAGGGCCCCCCCCGGGGCGCAACGAAGGCCCCTTTGGCCTTCGGGGGAAAGGATGGCAGCAGCTGCCGGTCAAACAGCTCCAGCAGCTTCACGTGGCATCTGAGCGAAAGAGCTCTGACAGTTGCAGGCAATCTAAAGCAACACAAAGGTGCCAACTCATGCCACAGCCACTCAGCTGGAGGTTGCAAGTGCCCAGCCTGAGAAATTCGCTGTACCTTCTCGTGACGACCCAGCATTCCTTGCTGTTGCTGAGCTGCAGGCTGTAAAACACCTGCCACTCCAAACCAAACCTTCACCACCGCTATGCCAATGATTCAACTGGGCGCCGCGCGGCAGACTCAGTCTTGCACATTCGGAAGTCCGAAAGTCTGATTGCCTCGGGCTCAAATTGACCATAGTGGGCATGTGTCTTGCCATATGTCTGCGCGATGTGCATGTCACGTATATTCAGTCCAACTATGTCTGAATATACTCTCCTGGTGTTTGTGCATGGGTATACATATATACATGTACGTACAACATGTATTGCAAACATCTATTTCTATATGACATATATATATATATATATATTATGTGTGTGCGCGTAGTTTTACCCAGCTCCATACCTCCAACTCCCATGCATGCAAAACGCTGTGCACCCCCCTCCAATCTCTCGCCTGCACCACGGCCGGACGAAGGCCCTCGCTTTCGTCAACGGGATCCTGCGCGAATCTAGATGCACTGCAATTGGGGTCTGTCTCGTCTTGAGGTCATTGGCCCTGTGTGGTTTTGGGGGCCCCTATTTCAAAACACACCCATTTGTCTCTTTTTGAGGGTACCCCTTCTTGGGTTTTTTGAGGCGAAACCAAATGAAACCCACCACTTGTTTTTGCTTGCTCTCAGTAAAGCCTTGCAGCTATGGGTCGGTCCAGCGCGGACAATGCACGCCCAGCTCCCCAAACTCATTGGCCATGTGTGGTTTTGGGGGCCCCTACACCCATTTAGGCGAAACAATCCAGGAACCGGTTGGCACTGGTAGCCTCATACCCTCGACTCTGCCTGCTCAATCATTGCCGTCCCCAGTCTGTGCCTTACAATCTTACAATCCGTGGTTCATTCGCATCTCTTCGGATCCCCTTCGCGCAATCGTGCACAGAAACAAGAGGCAAATCCAAGTTGGCCTTGGCAACATGGACTCTAAACCACAAATACAGTTTTCGGCCTGCGTGCGACTTAGCTGCTGCCATGGCTGCAACATCCCCCCTACCTTAAGGGGAAGGGGGTGGCGGGTCCCCAGTTCCATTTATTTAGTCTTCCCCATAAAAGGGAAAATGGAACCACAAACGGAATTCCATTGGTCACCCCCCTCCCCCAACTCCATTTTTGAGGGGGTCGGGATGCTGCAACAAACAGGCCGTCTGGGAAAAAAGCACCGGTCCTGTGCAGTGTAACCCGCATCGACGCGTGGCAGCGAATCGCATTCCATTGCATGCCAACCAAGGTTCCAAGGTACTTGTCACTTAGATTGACCTAGCAAGTTGTAGAAGACTTTGCAGCTATGCTTTCAAATTCAGCTACATCTGATGCGCTCCTTGAGTGCACGTCTGAGTCACTGCTTTCTCTGCACTGCCCAGAAGAAACTGGAAAAAGATTGCGTGCCAACGAACGTGAGCCATGACAACAATCTGTGCTGCTGGCATTCCCTCAATCGGCCATTTGCACCAATCCGAGCCAAATGCCACAGCCAAAGCTCGGTTAGCTTGTGTGTGTGTGTGACCCCGGCCCCGGTGATTCTCTTGTTGGGCCCCTTTAGCATTGACATGCACAAGAGCTTAGATGCAAAGACCTGCGAACCTTGAGCCTCCGATCGGAAGGGCGCTCCTCCAGTTGGCCTCAGAGGCAACCCGCAGGGACCCAAGCGGCTGAGCAGCTCCCGCCTTCTGTTGAGAAGCTCGCCTCGGCCGGGAGTCTGCCAAGCGAGTTCCCTTTCCAGCTTGCCCCAAGCAGCTGCAGGATTCGATTGGTTGGTTGAAACTGCCTCACCTGCAAACCACCACCCCAAACCCAAATCTTCAGGAGCAGGTGAAATCAAGTGCTTAACTGCCTCACCTCCAAACCACCATGGTGGGTGACTTTGGGTAAGGTGACTTTGGGCTTCCGTTCGCCCTTTCCCTGTGGCCGCAGCATAGTCCAGTGCCCGCAGCGTGTTCATCAAGCAGTCCATGGGCACCTCCGGAATGGAGCACGTGTCACGCGCCATGGGCGAAGGACAAGGCTCGGGCAGACTGCAGGCCTCGGCAGCTCTTTTTGAGTCATGGAGGGTACCCCTGCGGGGTTTTAACGAAAAGGAGAACCACCATTGTGGGGGGGGGCATCCCCGATATTTTGAGGCACATCCAATTTCACAATCTGTTTTGCATTCCGATGTCGCTGGAGCATAGCACGTGGCTCAGGCTTGCTCGGCGCCCTTCGCCCATTGCTCTGCAACGGGCGAGTCTCGGCCGCGACCAGCAGAAACTCGTGCGCAAGTCGCGGCCATGTCAGCAAACGTGGCTGGTGCAGCTGCCACCTCCCCGCTACGTCACAGCTTTGGATCAGTCTGGAAGGGGCGTTCAGAGTCAGTCTGGAGGCAAAGCCTTCAGGTTCAGAACGTGGTTCTCCTGCAATGGCTCAGGCTCCTCTGAACGTGTACCTCTGCCGTTTTGGTGCCTGCAGATTTGGTCTGGGTCTGCAAATAATAAATAAGAGTTATAAGAGTTCAAAAGGAGCGCATCAAAGAACATGGAGACAAGGTCTCGTGCAAGCCTGGTTTGCTGAAGACGACGGCAGCCAAACCAAGACCGCTTTGGACGAACCACAAGTCAGAGAGGCCGCAGGCGAACTCTATTGCCAAACGGGAGGCTGGAAAAGAGCCTGCTGTGTGACCACCCCCTCTGCAAAATAATCCTTTGGCACAGGGTAGGTTAGTCAGGCGCATGCAATTGAACAGGGTGCTTCTCAAAAGAACCACCCGTGTTCAGGTTCACGATGGGAGGCCATCCGCCGATTCAAGCCATGTTGAGCCCACAGCAAGTCAGCTTCCCCCCCCGTTCGCAGAGAATAAATCCTGGCACAGCTCAGACATTCACCCGGGGGTTGGGGCTGGTGCTTTCCCTTTCTGCCAAAAGAACTACGCACAATCAGCTGAGTTCCCATGAGGCCACGCGCTGTATTGCATCTGCGCACATGGCCAGCGGTGGGTGAAGGCAGCGGAAGCTAAAATTGGTTGGCTGGAGACGGTATCAAAGCTTAAAACAATCAAGTCTTGCAGGACAGCAGGCATACACCTGCGGACCTGGCCCGATCTGCAGCATTCCCTTGGCAAGGAAAAATAAAGTGCAACAAATCGTGAAATCATGGGTCACCAACGACACTTTCAAATGCGTTGAAGTTCCTTTCGTGTTGCAAGTTTTTCCATTGAATGAGGTTGCGCCATGGGGTCTTCACGCTGTTTTTTTCCCCGTTAGTTTTTAAACTCAGGCCTGGGGTGGTCCAAAAAACAACAACAAAACAAAGCAGGAGAAAACAAGAACAAAAAACAAGAAGAAAAAAGAAGAGCAAAAGCGGAAAACCGTGGGGGAGGGAAGTTGGGGGTTGTGGATGGGTCCAACTTGGCTCTTTTTCGGACCGCTCCTGGTCCCAGGTCTCCACCGCCCCGGGCCGCGCTTCGCGGATGCGCCTCAGCGCCGCTTCCGGGGAGCTGAGGCCCAGCTCCACCAGCAGGCGGCTGGCCACCGTGCCTCGCTCGTTGTTTTTCTTATTTGTTGTCCTTTTCTTAAAATAAAGGAAAATAAAATTTGTTTTTCTCCTCTGCCAAGCTGAACAGGCAGCGCTGGAAACAGACCGAGGGCTCCTTAAAGGATACACATGTTGCGTGCAACCATTTGAAACATGTGGCTTTTTCAACACCAAAATGAAGGTTGAAACCACCATTTGCAAGTTGCAATGTTCAGTGAAGAAGCTTCAATTTGTCCATATTTTTTGGGAAACATCTGGAAGAACGGTCAGAACATTCTCCGCCGGGAAGTTTCGAGGAACCGACTCCCAAAGGGCAAGATGTGAATGAAAAAACCATCCCCCTAAAAGCCACATACAACGACTGAATGAAGATGGACATCGGGGGATCCTCACCAAGCTGGAAGAAGCTTTGTGTTTTGGAAACGTCTGAAGTTGGTAGGAGAATTTAAGGCCATGGAAATAGCGACTGGCAATCCAACAGACGGTTCCCAATGGACCATGGTCAGGATGTAAATGAAAGGCTAGGGGGGATGCTTGCACATTGATAGACCATATCTGCTCGGTTGCTTTCTGCTCCCCTGCTAAAAGTTTGACTTTTAGTGGCTTAATGGAAAACCCATTTGTTGGCAAAAAGTTAAAGTCCTAACATCCAAGCAAAATGCACCAAAGTCTGCTCATTCATCCTGTGAGGCCAAGACGAGCCACCCCCTTGTTCATGTTTAAACGCATTGTTGAAACATCCTTTTTGGCTTCCCGAAGTGTGGTGTGGTGGGTCTCAAAGGCTGGAAAGCAGACCGGAATGAATCAAAATCCCCATGGTTGGGGGGTCCCCCTATATGGCCATGGGAAACCCCGTGCCCCCAGTGAACATCCCAATCACTAAAATAGGTTCTAAAATGGGTGGTGCACCCACCCCAAAATGGGATCTCATTGGTTTTGACCCACAGCCATGTGTTCCACGATGAACGCTTGAGGTCAGAGACACCAGAAGGGGTTTGGGGGAAGGCCATCCACTGGCACTCGTCCTCACCCCCTTCTAGCAATTTGGCTGTGGCTCAAAAAACCAAAAAGACCAAAATGGCTTGCCCTGGCAAGTGGAAACATGAACCAAAACTTGTGGTTTGCCCGGCCCCTCCTGTTGAAAATTTTGAGCCACGCTCATTTGCCTCCCATATGGCCATGGGTCGAAAACCCGCACCCCCAGTGAACATCCCAGTCCCCACTAAAATAGACTAAAATAAGTGGTGCACCCACCCCAAAATGGGATCCCATTGGTTTTGACCCACAGCCATATCTTCTCGAGACCACCCCAGGCGGCCCCCGGTCGAAGACCCGGTCGAAGACCCGGTCGCCCAGTCGCCTGCTCGCCCGATGCCGCCACGGCAATGCACCACCACCCGGCCGCCGCGCCGCAAGATCTGCCGCGCCGCTGCGCCGTCGCCGCGCTGCACCCAGCAACCTGGCAGAAAAGTCATCCAAACCTACGGATTGCTTGGATTTCAAGGTGCTTTGTTCTTGGTTGCTAAGGCTCTAAGGCTTTTTTTTGGTTTGGGGGTTGGACCTACATCCCAAAAAGCACCTGCTTTCGAACCCAGATCCAAAGCGTCAACCGCAGAAAGATGAAAGTGTGTGCGGGGAATGGCTCAGCTCTAAGTTAGCAGTACAAGTGACAGTGACTTTCTTAACCGGCCCAAGGTATCCTTTGAGGGACCCCCGCCGAAAGAACCTTGGGCTCCCCTGGCCAAAGTTATCCAATCAACACGCCATGAAAACAAACATGCCAACACAAGCACGCGCAAACGTACGCAACATCCAACAACCGCACAAAATACAAGTCCACCACCCACAACCCACTGCACACCATACCACCGCCACGGACACACTTGGCGTCTCGCGCGCGCGCGTTGGGCCGGCAAGCGCGAGCCATGTCAAGTCACTCAGCACCCCGCCCACGCAAACCACACTCAAGCCAAAAATAGCCGAAAAAGAACCGCCAGTTCCAAAGGGAACTCACTAGGCCACGCTTTTCGGCCCCCTGGTTGCCCCCGGTTCGGCAAAGGCGCCCGGCTCACCCGCCTTCGAAGAACATCCCAGGCGCACTGAAGTCCGGAACCGGGCAATGCAGCCAAGCCATCTTCCGGCGCGACACCTGTCGCCACTTGCAACACGTGGGTAAAAGTTTTCTTGCGATACTCTCCCGCCAGCTAACATGGGCTGGTGCACAGACCCCTGTCGAAAGACTACTGTCCTCTTGGGAAGGGCCTTTTTGCACTTCGATGTTAGTTGGTGGGAGGGTACCCTTTTTGGGCAGGGTTTTCAGGGAAACCAAAAGGAAAACCATCATGGCGGGTCGCCCCAAAAAGACCCTTGTTGACACCTTTGCCTGACTCCAAGGAAAGGCTCCACGCGCATCCTTTCGGCTTCTTATCCATTACACTCATCGTGAAGCCCTTCAACATACTGAGGTGCCTCCATGAACATTCGTCTTCAGCATAGCTAAACAAGGCCCTGAGGCCTAGCTTGTTGCTAACCCACTGAAAGAATGCTGCCGCGTTCCTCAACGGAAAGGAATCCTGCCGTTCCTACTACCATCATTCCATTTGGCACGTTGTAACAGAGCTACGTGGTGCACACTTATCTTATCGGAACCTGCGCGCCCATGTCCCTCACATCCAGCTGCCGCATCTCTTCATCCTGCGCTTTTTGGCACACGGATGGTGCGACAGCGCGTGAAGGGCCGTGACCAGAAACCAAGCAAAGCCATGCTTGACTTTGGCCCAGGCCCACCCCCTCAGACTTAGGGCCCCAAAACGGCCCTCCAAAAGAATGCTTCTAGGGCGCCTCCAGGATGAGTTTTTGAGGCTTGTTTTTGTTCAAGGGGGTAAGCTATCACCAAGCATCACCAAACTTGCACATGATTGAACGACTCCTCCGAAAACTCTTGTCCTTTTGCGCCTTACTCATGCACAAGTTCGCGTTCGTGGCTCATAGAATGCACAGGCCACATGAGCCACACACAGTCAAACCCTGCAAGGAAATGCGGAAACATAGTGAACCTCTCGGTTCTGAGAAAGCTTCCGTTGGCTCGAATCCGGCATGTGCAGGATATGAGGATTTCGCGTGCTTTCAGGGCATTCCGGCCCATTTCACCATTGCAAAGGAACAAGCATCTTCAGGTGTCGGTCGGATTCCTAGTTGACACCCTGAAGCTCTCCTGCACCAACGTCACGATGGCCTCTGCTCCCCAAGTCTTCAGCTGGTCCAGGTCCAGCCCCAAATCCCGCTCCCTCTTGCCCGGGCAAGGGGTGATGGCCTAAGATTCACCCACCCGCAACCACCGAGTACCATTCCCGGTTTTTCACGTGAGATGATCCATCCAAGGAGGCTCACTTCCATTTGACCCCAAGCAGTCGATGCCCGACACCACCGCTTTTCAGGAACGCGTACATGCCGTGGCCCCACAACTAGGCTGTCTCAAAGCCGGGGATGATCATTCCAGGTAACTTCTCACATCTCTAAGAGACCTAGAAATGACGAATCAGCCTCTTGAGACGTTGACTGCAGAATGCGCACTACTTCAGATTTGATTCACTGGAGGTCGAATTCAAGCCAAGCGGCAATCTTTGCGCCTTTCAATTCCGGGATGTCAACCACGTACATGTCCAGGGCCCGAGCCCTGCCTCTCACCGCCCGGCCGCGGGTGGAGAAGCCTCGCTCCAGACTACCTGCCAGCAGGCAGGCCACGCATAGCAACGAAGCCGCTCTCGCTCGCGCCATGGCCAGCTGCCGGACGAAATTCTGAACCACTTCGAAACCATGGGAAATTCTTGTTTGCTGGTATTTTGCAGGCGAATCATCATTCCAGGTTGCTTAGGTGGTGCAGGATTCAGTCCATCCACAGTATCACCACTGTTTGCCAGGGGTGTCCAAGCTCTTGCTGGACCCCGGTTGGAATCTCGGTTGGAAGGGTGTTCCATGGCAAGCCAAAAGGAAACCAACCATTTTGAGGGTCCCCTAATGCAAAGCACCTGGATGACGTGTTAGAATTTGAAAGCCTTGGCTTCTTGACCGGTGGAAACTGAGGGGACCAAGCATTCAGAACTTTCTTGTCCATCTCAGAATCGAAAAGGGTTTGAGCCCTCTCTTCCCATACTGCCGCTGTGCCCAACGATTGGGCAATGATTGGCAGTGATGAATCAGCAAACGTCGCCATGAAGCTGGGGGCGCGTCCGCCAGCATCCAACTGGCTCAAGACCTCGGCAACATGAACCGCCGTAAGCAGATCCGCACTCTGCACTCCTCACTCACTTCCTGCTGCAGGGCCCTGACCCACGAGAACAAGTCAAGATCAAATAGCCCCGTCACCTAAGGCCAGCGAAAAAGCGGGAAAGGCGAGGGAGCTGGGCACTTGAAGCTCGGGACTGAGTAGGCGCTGAGGAGATCAGACCTAGCAGTCCCCAAGCTTCCAACAAAACAAGGCGTCTCAGTGTTGAATAGGGCTCTGGCAAGTTGCGCTTTGATAAGTTGCAGGGCGTGGCACGTCGCACCTCGACAAAACAAGACCGGCTGCCTTGACCAAAAGAAGTGCCGGGTCCGGTGCTGTCTGGCTGACCCAGGCGAAAAGCTCCACAGAGGAGAACCTTGGGCCCCAATGTCAGAATCACGTCGACGTGCCATCCGTTAAACGCGCTATTTGGCTCAGCAAAGTAGGATTGAAACTCCGAACTTGCAAAGCGATCTATGCGAAGCTGGAGGCGGTGAGTGGATGGATGTGGCACAAGTCTTGACCAAATCAATCCAAGCGGCCGCAAGCGAGCACAAGAGATAGCCACTGAGGCCTCATGACAGTCGAGAACTAACTTCGACAGGGCAGGGGGCACATGAGAAGCTGAGATACAAAGAATGGGGAACGGGATGCCATGTTAGTCGTGAATCATCGAAAGGAGCTTTCCCAACTTATCCGGGCAAGCAAACGAGATTGAGAATGGTGAACAACGCTTCTGCAATCCTATTTGGCTACGGAGGCTGTGCCGGACTCACTCGGAAGCATAGGAAGGACAATGCCATGGTCCATCCGTCTGAACCAAAAATCAGAACAGCAATCCAAGATGTAGTGCAAGCCAAAGGAACGGCGACACTCAGGTGTGTTGCTGCGTCTCTTGGCCGTCCATGTTGCGCAAACACAAAAAAGGTGGCCTTGGTTTGTGACAAACCCAATTCACAGGTGCGCTGCGCAGCACGGCTTCAAGCGCCCTTTGCTTGACTCAGAAAGCACGGCGCACGGCTGCAGCCATAGGCGGTTTTCGCCTCTCACGTGAGCAGTGGAATGATTACCCGCTCCCAAACAAATAAATAAAGGACACCCATAAAACGGCCATGGTAGGCCTGCTAGGCCCATCAGCGCTCTTAGCCACAGAAAGCTGCACGTGTATGCTGAATGCCGTCTCGCACAGCTTTGGTTGACTGGTCAAGGTTGCTTTCCTTTGTGAGAACACCTTTGTAGTCATCAGCCTCTGAGAAGTAATATGGGCATCGACATCTGCTAGCTGTTTGACTTGCCTGGCCCACCGTTCGTTCCCACACGCCAGGCGCGCCTCCTTCAGCATCTGCCAAGAGTGGAATGGGCCCATGGCCTACTCATCCCACTCATCATCGTCATCGCTGCCGCTTCGCACAACACCCTCGGCATCAACCCTCAAGTGCAAGCGCAGGGTCCTGCAAAACAGTTGGTTTCGTGACAGTGTCCATGCTGAGAAAGGATATCCTTTAGTTTGACGTGCTTTGAGTCTTCTTACGCTCTATAGCCGCGCAAATTCCTCAGTAGAAACCAGTCACATTCCCGTCCAACTCCGGCCAAACCCCGCCAAATCCCCCCTAGAACCGCTCAACTTCCCAGCCAAGCCCCCCAAACTCCTACAAACCGATCAAACCCCACCAAAATCCGTTCAGAAGACCAGTCAAGTCCTCTAAAACCGGTCCAGCCAGGAGGAGCCAATCAAATTCCTTGTGGAACCCAGAACCTGTCAAACCTGTCAAACTCCCTCATTCAAGCAAACGCAACACTTCAGGGCAAACCAAAACTCAGTACCTGAAAGCCAGCCAAAAGCATTCCAGCCGAAGCGTTTACAATTATTGGAATTAGTGGAAGGCCATTAATTGTCCTGAAAGTCGTTGATTGCAATTCCAAGTCTGTCGTCCGAGGGTGGCACCCATTCCGAATTCCTGCTTCACTCTTGCAAAATTGCGGGAATGCCATATGGACCTTCCAATCGAAACAGCAGGAAAAACTACAGCCCGCCAAATAGATACTAGAACTTGAAATACTAGAATGTCGCCAAGGTCCCATCAATGCCAACAACATCCTGCAAAAGACTTCTTCGGCCCAGTCGCATCCAGAAGAAACTCCTCCAGTCCGTCTGCGCAGGCCTGGTCAAAACCAGCCCCCAACCAAGAGCCATTGCCATTCCCCAAATCGAACATGATGGAGGTCTTCTTTCCACCCAAAATCGCTCAACTCCAGGCTCATAAGTGTGCCATCCGGAAAGTAGTTGGCACAATTCCCCCCCCCCCCCCAGCTCACCACATGTTGGTTTAGACATCTATACCTTAACATCCCCAAACGGAAAAAAATGCCATCTGTTTCAAGGTGATTGGCAGGCCAGTCTCGTGCCGCCCGGGCGGCGCCAATCTCTTCCAGCATCTCTCGGGCCTCCTCGAGCCTGCCATGCGCAGGCCAAGCGCTTGCCGCTCTTGGACCCGTGGGGCTCTACGACATGCCGGGCCCCCGGCGTTACGGTTTCCTCAGCGAAAGAAACGAAAAAACGCCGCGTGAACCCGCGTGGTTGGAGATGTGGCGATGTGGCTGTGGCCCAAAAATTGAAGTACTAGGGTTACACAGGTTTTGGTCTTCGGTTCTGTTTACCAAGGTGCCATTTTGGTACATTTATTTGAGCCACACCCATGTGTGAAATGGAAAACTCTTTGACATGGAACCCGCTCCCTGGGAAAGAAAGGACGGGTTTAGTTCAGTAGCAACCTGTCAGCTTCCATGCGCGAAAAACCCGCTCTGACCCACTCAGTGCGCGTCTCGTGGGTCCAGGTCGGCCTCAAGAGCAACATTTGGATAGGACCCCTTCAAGTGACCGGTCGCTTGATTCACCTTTGAAGTCACCGACCCGCACTTTCACAGCACCCCAAGCAATCCAGCAACCCTCCTGGCCATCTACCCAAAGGGCCGCTGAGAGCGGTGCTTGCAAGATAAAATGCCGACGCTCGGCTTCGTCAGCTGGAGTGTCTGACAGCTATGCGCGGGCCCATCAGAACGGTCTAGCTCGAATTTCGCTCGAAGAAGGGCTTGCCTTCGGATCCTCTTGAAAGGGATTTCAACAAAACTCTGTGTTGTTTTGAAACTACAACGGCTTTGTTTCATGTCAACTTATATACAGTCCAACACAAAGTTGCGCGAAGTCGAAAGGTCGGCATCTTAGGTGCTGGCTGGTGGGGGCGCCCTGAAGTTCCTCGTGCGCTGCCCGAGGGGAGAGGAGAAAAAAAAAAGCCACGCGGCGAAGGCATGCCCTAAGCTCCTGAGCCCCCCTTGTGGCTTTTCCCGAATGAGACTGCAAGACATGGCTGTGGGTCAAAACCCTGCATTGTTGGTGAACATCAAAATAGGTGGCAAATGGATGTTCATCCACCCCAAAATGGAGCCATTGGTTCTGCCCCATGGCCTCATGAATTAATACCCAGCGGTGTTTCGTGTGGGCCCCAAAGAACCCTTTGTTGTCAGTGCAGGGTACCAGAGCGGGTGTTCCTGCACCACTTCAAGGAGACTCAAGTAAACGTTTTCCGCGTCAGCGACAGGAACAACCTCAAGTGCCCTTCGAGGCAATAAGTTCGATACAGTCCTAACCCCAGGAAGCTTTGATGGCACTGTAATTACGAGGCACATCCCGCAGATTACCCGCTCTGTCCAGTGCTTTGGCCGGTGTTGCTTGGGCTGGCCAAAACACAAAGTATGTAGCCCTCCTTTCTCTGTCTTTGTGGACAAGTCTCGGTTTGCAGGTACGCGAGCAAATCCGCAACACTGACCTGAGGCAACAGGGTCTTTGGCTGAAGAGTATGGTCCACCTTGCTTCTTCTAATACCTCCCATCAACCAGCATCTAGGTCCTCCAGTAAAAAAGGCTAGAATAAAGGTACCCTGTTTTCTGTAGTCTATTTTAGTAGGGGAACCCTCCCCCAGAAAAGAAACGGTATAAGGGCACTACTCAAAAACGTAGGCATGGCAGCGTCAAAACCCATTCTTCAAGACTCCAATTCTTTGGAAAGTGGGCATGTTGTTTCACCCATGTTGCACCAACACTTGAGAGAATGTCTGCAAACGGGGGCGTCGCCTGCGATTCGGGGGTGACGTCAGGGACGCGTGTCACCAGCCAGGAGGTGGCAATGCTGCGTCTGCTGAGCAAGCCTTGGGCAAACATGAGCAAATGCAAATAAATGTGCAACAGACGCCAACACATGTCACCCATCTGGTCCCAAGCATTGCATGTGGCCACGCTGCCGAGACTCCCCAAAGGCGATATTTCACCCTAGTGGCCGGCTGTGTTGCCAAGGCAAGCACGCGGTCAAGTCTATCAACATCCTTGAGCGCCGGACGGACATGCCTGGCTACCACAGGCCGGAGCAACCTGACAGCTTGTTCACTCCCAAGAAGCTGAAACATCCCGAGGTCTCAGATCCTGGCGCTGCATGGAGCGAAGCCAAGCCCCGGCGTGCGAGCATGGGCACCCGCGCGTGTCACTGCCTTGAACTTGAAGCTCCAAGGAGATCCTTCGGTTATGGGGCATCGTTTAGCGACACCTTCTAACCTTCAGCCCCTGCATTCGAGCCATGAAGCTTGCAGCTGGACACTCGAAGTGCGATAGTTGTAAGATATCAAGGATTCAAGGCGTCACAAACAAACTGCTTTGGTTGTTTGGAGCCCTTTGTCAGTGGCCTCTTGCAGTTTGCCACTTCATTGACCAGCAAGTGGGGCACGGCAGTCGGGCATCCGGGCAAGCAGCTGGGGGTTGCGCTCCCACTCGCCTCGCGCCGGAGTGGGCCGCTTTCCAGACTTCGAGTGGCCACGGGACACCTTTTTCCTTTTTCGGTGGGTTGGCACTTCGGACGCAAAGCCAGGCGGAAGTCGCTGGAAGGAACCCACTGAGTCCCACTTGGGTTTACCTTGTCGCGCTCCAGCGCCCTCCTGCGCCAGACTTCACATTCTCCAGGAGTCGCTGCACCACCGAGCCGGGCCTGAGACAACCGGTCCGACCGGCCACATGCCACAAGAGGAACCAACACTCCCAAAGGTCCCAAACATCCCAAACCTTGTGGGAGCTGCGCGCTGTGGGCTGGGGATGGGTGGCCGGATGAAGTGGGTGGCTTGGGGGGGGCGGCGGCATGACCCGCTGGAAGAGGCAGCAAATGCACATCGAAGCTCGGCCCTGGGACCCCTGCAGGGAGGCAGGCACGCCCTGCGGGGGTGCCTGGAGCATCGGATGGGATTCATCTGATAAACATCGCCATGGAGATACAGTTGGTAGGCACAACTCCCCATTCTGACTCAGTCATGCCCTTTACCCGGTGGCCCGGCGGGCCCGTTCCTAGCTGCCTAAGTTCATGTCGTTACTGTGGCGCGCGCATCAACTTAGAAAGGTTTGCCATTTCTTGAGAGACTCTTGCGAAAGGAAAGTGGCTTGAACCATGCAAGTTCCCAACGGAGTTGGCGTGCAGAAACACAAGAGATTCATAAAGAGATTTCAAAAGTAATTGCAAGGAAAGATATGAAGATAAACATAGTAGGATGAAAGCTAGAAATCTAAAGTAATGGAAGGACATGACTCATTTAGTGAAGGACATGAGTCATTTAGTGCGACCCCTGGTGTTTGTGGGTAAATCTTGAAAATCGAGTCGATGGAAATTCGCCAGGTCGAGCTAGGGCACCCCTTCTCCGTGAATACCAGCAAGGGCGTGCATGGAGTTGGCCTCAGTGGACGGGATCGCAGCTTCGTGCACTGGCCCACGTCTGGCATTTGCCTTGACGTGACTGGATTGCACCTTTGTACATGGATGCACCTGCATTTGTCTATGCACATCCCGGCCCTATCCACGAGTGCGTGAGCTGCAAAGCTGCCTTTTCACCACACAAAACCCAATCTGGAGCCCAAAGCTTTTTGGAGTTTCCCCTCATGTTTGGTTCTTTGCTCAACTTGGTTGACATATTTCAACGGGAGCACCCTTGGGATCGCAGCTCCTTTGGGGACCTACCTGGTGCTACCAGCGGGCCAGAGGCCCCGGCCAGCTGCTGGGGCTCAAAGCCCAGGTCGCGCCTCAGCAAGCGCGCCTGGCGCCGCGGCGTTTTTTTTTCGGCTGACCCGTTTCAGTGGCGACATTTCCAGGCAAAGGGCAGAAATGCCGACTTTCATAGGTGTCCTTTTTGGGGGAAATAGATGGCCCTGGTAGATGATTAAACCACCAGGTAAACCAGGGCCACCTGTTTTTCCTACCAATCCAGCCAAAAATGATACCTATGCCGACTTTATGTCGGCTTCATCATTCACATTGTCTACCGCTCACCCCCTTTTCTTTTTGCACGAAAGTGGCTTATGTGATCTACTTTCATCCGAGTGTAGTTCTCTCTCTCTCTCTCGCTCTCACGTGCCATTGGACTCCTCACAAAAAACAAAAAACAAAAGCTTTGAGAAGGGGCCTCATTTTAGCAAGGGTCCCTTTGATTCTGGGCGGGCCACTGATGAATAACTGGGGGGGGGTCATTAATCAGGGCCAGGATTCCCATCTGCCCACAGTGGACATTCTCAAGCCCCAGCCCTCAAGAAGCCGCCCGCCTGCAACGCCGCCAACAGCGCGGCAAACCTAGGGTGACACACGAAAGCATCCGAAGGCAGACGAGAGAGGCCCCGAGTTTGCCGATCAATCCAGCCGCCGGGAATGGGGAAAAAAACCAGCGCTGGGATTCTGGGCTTTGCACAAAGGAACGGCGAGTTGAAGATCGCAATTTGCAATCTGCCAAACGCTGTGGTGCCGGACTCTTCGCTGCAAAGGGATACCCGCGCCAAGGTCAGCAGGCAGTTTGCCACGTGCTGCGAGGACCTCGTGCGTCTCTTAAGGCGGGAGAGGCCTCGCGCCTTTGGACTTTTGAGGGGCAATGCCACCTGGCGAAATCCTGACACTTGCTTGAGCCCCCGTCAGCTCTGGCACGCTTTTCCGCAGGAGGTCAGCCAAGTGGATGGTCAAAGGCTCCTGCACCCAGCAGGTCTGTGGAAGAGACTCCGGTTGAATTGCAGGGGAAAGACGGGGATCGCCCCTCCAAAGGGTTGATTTCGCGGGAGTTCAACTCAAGAATTCTGAAGGGGCGCTGGTTTTCATCCATACCCGAACGGCTCTGACTGGCAGCGAAACGCCCTGCAAACGCTGTGTTTGAAGAGTTGCTTGCACTGCCCTTCTGGACATCGGGGTAGGTTCCCGCAAATCCGCACTGTTTGAACCCTACTCAAAACGCAATGGGCAAAGCAACAGCACACTTCTCTGGCCATTCCCTTGTGGCATGGGGCACAGAACGCACCCACCCGGACAGAGATGCACACACACACACACACACACACACACACACACACACACACACACACACACACACACACACACACACACACACACACACACACACACACACACACACACACACACACACACACACACACACACACACACACACACACACACACACACAGAGACCGGGGCATTCACCACATGCCGGCCCGGCGGCTCTGTCCTTGTGAAGGCCCAATCGCCCACAGGCGTAGAAGAGCTGGACCTTGCGAGCCCAGCACTTCAACTCTTGCGCTTGCCCACCGCCTGGGTCGTTTTTTTTTAGTAGGGCCACCCATTCTGAGACAAACCAATGCAAACCTGCCAGGGCTTTTGCTGTCCTCAAGGCTGGCCTTTGCACAGAAGGCGCCTAGCTCGTTTCGCCCCAAAAAATTGCAAAATCATGCAAAATCCTTCCATACATGCTCCGCCTGCATCTGCTCCCCAGCCCCCGCAGCACTGGCCAGGAGC